TGGGAAGATCCCCTCAAAAAAAATTCATTAATGCACACAAATAATATATTAAAAATTTAGATAAATTTTTCTATTAATATTATCCTATTTTCATCACCCTTTTAATGTATTCATGAATGGGACGTTTTAAATTTCATTTTTTTTGGGTACTTTTTTCTCATGTAATTCTAAAACATTTAACGGTAGATACCTCTAAGTATTTAGTATCAACATATACTCAATCTCATCATGTTTTTCTTCTCAATCTTGTTCTGTCTCTTTCTAACTAACCAAGCATCTGTACTCTCTCTTACATGCACACTCATGACCCAAATTTTACTGCTTCCAAACTTCCAAACTTGGGAAGACAAAAATGAAAATAAAAATAAAGATAAAATTTAAATCAAAATAAAGTTGGCAACACCAAATTTAAATATCAAAACAAAATCCAATTATGAGACGATATTGTTCAAATTTATTATAAAAAGAGATAATAATTCAAACAAAAAAACGGATTGGCGCTTCGAAACGACCTCTTTTATGACCGCACAGCTCTCGAACGCTACTCCACACCTGAAAAAGAAAGGAAAAAGGGAATGAGTATATAAATACACCCAACTAAACAACCTACTTGTAGGCTCTTATCGCATCTATGACCTAGTATGTGATTACAAGCTTTACTCTAGACTCTAGATGTAGCTAGTTTAGCCTACGCAGCAGTAACCGATATTCGAAGATGAGGGGCTACCTCCATAGACTCTATAGCAAGGGGAGGCAACATGGTGAATGCTAGCCTGCAAGTCATCCATGGTAGATTAGTTGGGAGATGCAAAATGCAAGCTCCACTGGCTACTTGCATAATCAATGTCCTCCCACAAGACTAATTATTTGCATATGGTACCAATTAGCTACCCGCATGATCAACACCTTACTACAAGACATATCTACCTTGCAGAGTAGTCTAACTAACTATCGAGTCACACCTATCTAACCAGCCTCACATCTAGCTTAACAGTACTGTACTGGAGTAGGAAGGAAGGTATGCTAGGTTATTAAGGGAGTCCAGTCAGCTTAAATTCCTTCTATAGGACATTTGGAGTTAGCTCCTCAAGCTAAACCAACATTTGGGTGCACACAGGTCTAAACCTCTAATTGCATATGATCTTAGGATGTAAGATCTACTGAAAACGTACTAACCTAGGTCAACATATAAACTGCAGTAGTTGTAGTGCCCTAATCTTAACTGAATTATCTCGTGCATGCTTTGCTAGGAAACATTCCAATCTTTCATCTAAGCACACAGTCTATGATTTAAACTTCACCATAGTCATATCTAAGAACCGAGAAGGTCTATTGGATTTCTAGGGCAACTAGTTGGTTTAATGCGGACGTCTGACTCCAAGTTACTCTAATTTTAGCCCTCGATTCTTTCTTAATCTTGGAGTACTAGGGTCTAGACCTTGTGACCTTCGCCCACAATATTAAGGTGCTCTGTGTACTAGAGGCGTCTTAACCTAAGTCATCATCTAATCAACCTAACTCTAACTCCCTAACCTTGTACAGGTAAACACGCTCTAAAGGGAGAATACAGAGTCAAATACAAAATAATAATCACTTGATTTGACTCCACGCCTCAATAATATCTAACCATATCAATTCACATACACAACCAAATAAATGAGAATTATGACTAATCCGTAACAATTTATCACATATATTTCTTCTCACCTCTTTCACATTGGTCCCACTAGTATTCATATAATGGCTCAATTTTTTTAGCTTAAAATACTTGAGCACGTTACTATGTGCTTCCATAAGACACGTGGAAATAACAGAGGAAACAAGAAGAATCCCAAAAAGTCAGTCCATTAGTAACACCAATCCATGGATAAAAGAATTTTTAATTGAGTTTTAGATTCCAAATGAAATTTCAAAGTAAAATATATTGAAAAGAAATTCAAACATCAACTTTCAAAACTAAACCTAAAACAATTTAAAAATAAAAAATATTTGTAAACGACTAAAAATACTAAACTAGCGACCAATCATGAGAATCTTGATTTACATTTTGTCACCATGGCCTTGCGAGCAACAACACCTTTCTCACTCGATTTGTAGGTTTGGAATACTCTTAAGTGCCCATTTAACGGGGTTGAATTTACATTTATATAAATAAAAATTCATGATATTGAAGATATATGGTGTCCTAACTAGTTTGGAGTATGTGTTTAATATATGTAGGAGTTTACTAAAATATGGTAATTATTCTGCCACGATTCGATTTTCGGAACTTCAAATTTCAAATTATACTAAAAAGACAAATAGTAACATGTATAATCCTAGATCTGTAGGATACCTTATATCACACCATTCGTGATACATTTATAGCCCTGAAGTAAACATAAAGATGCTGATGAGTTGAATAAGTTACAAGTACCAATAATATCATGTAAATAAGTCATATGATAATAAGACTAAAGGAATTAATTAAATTCTTGAAGTTTATAGTTTTTGTTATTAAGGGCAATATGGTAATTTTTTTTCTTTTTTTTTACATAATACATGGTTTGAGCCCCAAAAAATAGTCTAATGATCATGAAATTATACTTGTCCCTAAAAGTCATAATTTTAGATGTGTATGAAGTTTCATGTCTATGGGAGGTTATTAGAATTGTGAACCATAGGTAAATTACCTTATGGACATTGAGAAAATTTTACACTATTACTTGTTTGGCTACTTAACCTCTTGTAGTGACTATCAAATTTTAAATATAACCTTAAATTTTATAATATATTTCGTATTAATATTTTACGAGCAACACAGTCTATTTAATAAGTTATTTTAATAGTACTTGATTCTCAAGGAAAACGCTTAATGCATGTCTTTAAAACTCACCACTCTTGACTCAAATTCTTTCTTAATCCTTTAAATCTTGCTTTAACTTAAAATTCCTATTCAATTCTAAGCCATTGCTACAGGTATTTGTTTTTTTTTTTTAATTTTAAAGAAAAGTTCAAATTGGTTACTTACCTCTTAATCACTGTTAGCCTCAGTTCTCAGCTTCCAATACCCAAATTACTTCATCAAATTTTTCATTGGCAAACTTTATGGAGTGTCTAATTTTTAAAATTTTTTTAAACCATAAAAAATTGCATGAGAGTTGACTTGAAAATGAATTAATTTTGAGAAAATTTGAGAGGGATAAGATTTTGGCTGATGACTCACCACTCTATTTTCTCAAGAATGAAGATGCTTGTCGTCATGGTCGGTCGCTGCCTGAAAATCGACCTCTCTAGCTCAATCCAAAGTATTTCTCCTCTTGATAGATATCATTGTAATGTAGAGGTAAGGACATATTTCATATCTCTTAGTGAATTGTAGCTTGAGTTATAGGCTTTTAAAGTTGATAAAAAATCTATTTGTACATATAGCCCGTTTGAAATAATACGTAAATGCTAAGTGATGCGACTGTTATGCTGTATTTGATGAATTGATATGTTTTATGATATGATACGTTATGATATAATTTGTTGAAACTTGCTCGGAATATATTACGTGACTATTATGATGTATGATATGATATGTGCACGATATGGATTGTTATGTCTGAAAGCATGAAAACGTTATGATATGACTTATATGTGACATGAATGATATGATATCATTGACATGCAAAACGACAACTAGCATGAAATACAACTCTGACATCCGCATAAAAGTTATGATAAATGACATGATAAAAATTATGATAAATGATATAAAAAATGTTATGATTTGGGAAAATGCAACTGAGATCGTATTAAGGATAATTAAAATAGAAAAATATTGGGATCTCATACATTATTGTGTGCTCATGCATCGGGAGATTCTCCTATTCCTTCACGATAGAATGGAAGCGTACGTAAATAGGCAGGGGAACGATCATTATGTTTGACATAGTGCTGTCGTGACGGTTGCTACTCCTAATGGGTGTCCGACATCAATAACTCCCAAAGAGTGCTCGCCCGACCAGAAAGGAGCCCAGGAGGTATGCGAACCGATTGGTGGGTCCATACTCGTACATGTGGGCCATGTGTAGGAAAATTAATACACATCCAAGTTGCCCATTATGATAGCCGCCATAGGAAAATAGGATGTTATGATAGGTCCCATGCATGTAATGTTGTGTCTTTGCATTTTAACTGGGACAAGGGGTCGCTTACTGAGTATTTCTTAAAAAAATCAAGTCTCGTGCTAGTATATATTTCAGGTAAAGGCAATGTGCCCCGTAAGGTTGATGGTAACATCACAATCCTGAGACTGTGACACATGTTTAAGATAGATTTGTATTTAATTTTAGTAGACTATAGGTTAGTATAGGTTAATTGCATTTCCATTTAGTAGCATGTAGGTTAGTATAGGGCATTTCATTTCAAAAGTAATAAATGAAGCCTGCGAGGTTAAGGTTGATTTTGTTATAAAGTTTCAATAGAGTTAATTATGTATTAAGTGCTCATAATTAGTGTACGGTAGCGAGCTTAGGTTAAGTAGAAAATTTAGGTTCGTTACACCTTTTGGGCCTCGTTCTAGTTGGGCTAGTATTCTTTGGTATTGTTGTCAAATCCCCAGAAGGAGTAGCTACCGTCATAGCATCATGTTAAATATAATGATCATTTTCCTTTTTCATAACGTACTCGTTCGTACTCATCATAAGATGGTAATACCCCGATGCATGTGACATAGAATAATGCATGAGATCTCAACATTTTTCACATTAATTAAATCAAATAAAACAACCCCTCCCTATTTTTATGCATATCATATCATTTTATATCGTAGCTTTCAAAACATGCCTAGAGATGTGTATTATGTTTAAATATTTTATCGCGTGTCATACATATTATCATGTCACATCATAAGTGTATTATACTATAAAACATATCCTATCATAACATATATCATATCCCAAAACATATCATATCATAAAACATACTATGTCATTGACATATCATAATCATAAGCATAGTATACTACAAACACATCACACATAACAGACATATGACACGTTCGAAGCCACTGAGCACATCTCATCAGACATAACACAAACTTCTGACCATGTCGATAGTAAGAGAAAGTAGCCGACGTTCTCCCAAAACTCGGATATGCTTTCTCTCTTGCAAGTTTATGATATTATAATATATAATAGCATTCATTATTCAACACAATAACAATACACTATTGCCGAATATCACTCACCTCCTACAAATATTGACATCAAATGAAATTATTAAACGAGAAGTGTCCTTAGTATGACTTCTAAGTTATGAGCTTCATGAACTAATAGATGCCCATTATTAGGAAGCTCATGATATTGAATCCATGGAAGCTTTTGAGCTATAAAACGATTTAATTCAATAGGAACTACATAGTCTTCACAACCTTGCCACATATGAACACTGCCTTCATTATCATGAAATGGATTGCTCAGCTCCATGGGATCAAACTCCCATTTCCCAAAATTACACAATAAGTCTCTTATGTTGCATTCATATTCTCCTTGTTGTATCGGGTTGCACCGATTCTAGTTTAAAAACAAAAATATTATTAAAAATTTGACAAAATGCAAATTAATTTTACAATATGAAAATAACCTTTAAAAATGTAGAATCAAAGTTGATTGTGAAGGATTATAGATATTTGCAACTTAAAAGTATGTATCAATTATAGAGAATTACCTGTTTTGGGTGTTCCTCAATTCTCTTTATTATGGCCAAATCAGAATCACACAGCATTCTTCTAATATTAAAGTTTTCGAACCATTTCTGTGTCATCCACCAATACATCAACCAAGGTGTGTAATATGCAATCCAATACGTACGTTTATAAGATCGAGGAAGCTTCGTAAATAAACGTTGTGATAAAGCAGAAGGAAAAGAAGGCCACCAAAAATTCACGGGTGGAACAACTAGAGCAGCTCCTAGAAGTCTGCAAATAAAAACTTCATAAATATATTTTTACCAAAAGACTAAATCAATCCAACTTTAAAAATTCAAAAATTAAATTTGTAACAAAAATACCTATGCGGAATGTATTTCACACAACCCCAAACAGGGTATGTTCCTGCCGAAAATCCAATTACATAAAATTTTGTGCCAAGTTCCAACTTGTCAGCTACTTCTTGAATGTCGAAGGTATCAGTCTTGATTGAGCGTGATGGATATGGGTCGCTCTCACAATGACCCGCTCTATCATAGATTACCAAGTACAACTTAAGCTCCTCCATTAGTTCCTAAAATTAAAAACATATACATTTTTAGCAAGGTATATAAAAATAAACAAAAATAAAGAGATTTATGAGTAAAAGAAGAGCGATAATGCGGCACTTGAGAGATCGGCAAATCCATATCTTTGCAGCTACGAAGGCCATGACAAACAATGACTTTGTATTGAGCCTTTTCCTTGGAAACTCCAAATTCTTTGTAGGCCAAGTGTCTTCCATCGTTGAGTTTTATTCGAGGTGAAGACACTCGAGGGCCATTCGGTGATCCACATATTTTCGAAGGTGGAGGCTTCAAAAATGCTACATAAATCAATCCAATAAAACTCACTAGAAATGCTACTCCTAGGGCTAGAATCATATTATTTCCTGCAAAAACAAATATAACGCCCAATGCCTATGATTAGAGAGACTCGAAATAAAAACACAAGAAGATTGATGATCCAATTGCAAACTCAAATGAATTCATACATTTTTCTAGTCAGTCAAGTTTAGCAAGTACCTTCACTTTTCCGAAAAGTGCTATCGAGTATAAGAAATAATAGACATCTACATAAAAGAACCACTCTCTAGAGCAAGAATTTATAACATTGAAGAAGAAGAGAGATAGTGACAAAATTTTAAAATGCTGAAAGGTTTTAAAACACGTGGAAGTAAAGTGAGACCACCGTTACTTTGAGAATGACGCGATTCATATGTTGGATGACACGTACTTTGTATTAAGTTTAAGATTCCCTAAAAAACAAAACATTAAAATTCAAATTTCCCACTTAGTATGAACATAAACATGTTTTTTTTTCCCCTTCTTTTTTCTTCCTTTTTTTTTTTGTTTTTTTTTGTTTTTTTGTTTTGTCTCTTTGTAACGTGCAAAACAAGCATCTACTCTCTCTCTCTCTTACATGCATGGTCTTGCACATTATCTTTATGCTCTGATTTGGGAAAAATTCTTCTCTCTCTTACATGCATGGTCTTGTACATTATCTTATTTGTCTCTATTAGGGAAAAAAAATCATGTCTTACGTCCTGCATGATCTTGCACGTAATCTCTTATTCTCTGATCCCATTTTGTTGGCTTCTCAATCTTTTTTTCACTCTCTTACGTGCAATATTTCACTCTTATCCATTTGTAATAGGTTATCCTAGGATTAAAAATGCCATAAAATTTAAATCAGACAAAACAACTCACTAAAATAAAAATACGAAACAAAACCTAATTACAAGATTTGTGTTTTCCAAATTTAAAATCGTCTTCACTTAGGCGGCTTTCTAATCCGGACAAATTTTATGTATATTTACTGTAACAATCCTAAATTTTACATAACTCAGAGTTGCTACTAATGTCTCATGCTCATCTCTAATATGAAAACAATTAAAACATCTTTTTCTCTTTCTCTAAAAACATAACCATGTTATTAAGTGTTTAAATACGAAATACTGAAATTAAAAAAAATAAAATAAAATAATTTAAAATAATGAAAAGTAAAACAACCTATTCTAACCTAAGACTAGGAATTTAAATATGAGTCTAACCTATGAACGTGCCACAGTCTCTACTCTCGATGTTGTCGTCCTCCGTACAGGTACGCTTGCCTTTACCTAAAAAATGATGTGGCACACGACTAGAGTATTTTGAAGAATACTCAGTAAGTGGCCCATTATAGAAGGTCATGCAAATGTAAACACATGCAATCATTCTCTTGGGATCTATCTCTAGCTTATCTAGGGGTGCCCTCCAGTCTCAAACAACTATAGATGTATAGTACTTCTCTACACACGACCCATATGTGCAAGTATGAATCTCCAGGTGGGCTCGCACACCCCCTTGACCCTCTCTAGTCAAGCTAATCTATAGTAATGTCCGGAGGTCAATGGAACCTCTGGTGTCATGTGCCTCATGAACACCCTCATCTTCATACTGTGTGCATCCACACTCATCATCTGTAAGGGAAGTAGCCCTATGCTTATGAACATACAACATGTATGAGGTCCCTCTAAATTCCATCTTATCATCTCTTCTAACACAACCCTCTAATCTCATCTCTTTGTTACATTAAGTAACATATGCTCGTAAATATTTATATTAAATCATTTTCATGCTCTTAGGGTTGTGTCCTATGTCGATCTATCAACATGATTCAATATGACACTCATCATCATACAACATGCTCAATATAAAAAACATCGTCATATTAAGATAAACATCATGCAATTATCATACTCATCATATCGCCATAAAGTGCATCAAGCATATCAAGTATGTCATATATCGAGATATATATATATATATATATACATATACATATATATATATACATATATATTACGCACATCATCATACAGCATAACTCAAACATCATCATATACTAGTATACGACATCATACAACACCGCTCATACATCATCATAACTCATACATCATCATAGCTCATAACATCATCATAGCTCATACATCATAAATTGTAGCTCATACATCATAAATTGTAACTCGTACAATTTCCAGTCTATCCTATAGTAAGGTCACTTACCTAATTAGCTTAAGCTGTTGTCACTAATTTCAAGATCGATTTTGTCCTTTGAAATCCAAGTCAACCTACGTGAGTCGAGTCCGTGACATCAGTTTCAAATTCGAATTTCTACAAAATTATTCCTCTAATTTATAATGATCTGTGTTAGATTTCATGCGAACATTAGAGTTTTTGCATAAGTAAAGTTTTGGAATATTTTTTTATATGTTTATACGTGTGTGTGTATATATATATATATAACTTACCTTTATCTTATTTTTCTCTTGTTTCTTCGTCCAATAAATTATTATATATAAAAATTTGAATCCCTCGCCAAAAAATTCAATTAAGTTAATAGTTAAATTGATGCTCAATTTGAAAATTTTGTTAAAACTAACAAGTTTTAAGAGTTGCAATAGCACTCGAGGGATTAATTTCCTACTTTCCTCTGTTAAAGGTGTCCAAAAATTTTGGACACTAGAGGATATAAACATGCCAACAATTTAATATTATCATGATTTTCTTTCATTTTTGTGTGCTTGCTTCCTCTTCTTTTAATTAATTATGTTCACACGTTATTTTTGGTTTTTTGGCCAATTTTATTGACTGCTAGACATTTTCGTGACATTTATGACTTGTGATTTAATTTATAATTGATTAATTGTAATATTCATAAAATTGACATTTTCAAATGACATTTCTAGCTTGTAATTTAATTTTTAATTGACTAATGGCAACAAATTAATATTGGCAACAAATTAATATTGTTCCATAGAAGAATAAGAAAAAAAGTAAAATTTGACTCCAATATTCATGAAATGACTTGTGATTGAATTTTTTATTAAATAATTACAACAAATTAATATTGTTCCATAAAAAAATAAGAAGTGAAATTGACTGCTTAACATTTTCAAATGATATTCTAATTGCAAATACAATTAATATTATAACATAAAAGAAAAAAGTAAAATCTTACCACTAACATTTTTAAATGCCATGATTTAATTTCTAACTTACTAATTGAAAATATAATTAATATTATTACATAAAACAATAAGAAAAATCTAACTACTAACCTTTTCCAATGACATTTCTAACCTGTGATTTAATTTCTACTTACTAATTGCAAATACAATTAATTTTATTCCATAAAAAAATATGAAAAATGTAAAATCTTACTACTAACCTTTTCAAATGACATGTGATTTAGTTTACTGACTAATTGCAAATACAATTAGTATTGTTCTATAAAAGAATAAGAAAAAGTTAAAATCTGACTACTAACCTTTTCAAATGACATTTATGACGTGTTTCTACTTACTAATTGCAAATACAATTAATATTGTTCCATAAAAGAATAAGAAAAAGGTAAAAATCTTCAACTAACCTTTTCAAATGACATTTTTGGCTTGTGGTTTAATTTCTACTTACTAATTGCAAATACAATTAATATTGTTCCATACAAGAACAAGAAAAAGTTAAAATCTGATTACTAACATTTTCAAGTGACATTTCTGATGTGTGATTTAATTTCTACTGACTAATTGCAAATACAATTAATCTGATTCCATGAAAGAATAAGAAAAGATTAAAATCTTGCTACTAATCTTTTCAAATGACATTTATGGCATGTAATTTAATTTCTACCGACTAATTGCAAATACAATTAATATTGTTCCATAAAAGAATAAGAAAAAGTTAAAATATGACTACTGACTTTTTCAAATGACATGTTTGACATGTGAGGTAATTTCTACTTACTAATTGCAAATACAATTAATATTGTTCCAAAAAAGAATAAGTGACTTTTTCAAATGACAACGTCTGACATGTGAGTTAATTTGGACCGACTAATTGCAAATACAATTAATATTGTTCCATAAAAGAATAAGTGACTTTTTCAAATGACATGTGTGACATGTGATTTAATTTCTACTGACTAATTGCAAATACAATTAATATTGTTCCATAAAAGAATAGAAAAAGTTAAAATATGACTACTAACTTTTTCAAATGACATTTTTAGCCTGTAATTTAATTTCTAATGACAAATTACAAATATAATTAATATTGTTCCATAAAAAAATAATAATAATAAAAAAAAAGTTAAAATTTGACTACGGATCTTTTCAAATAACATTTTTAGTTTGTGATTTAATTGAATCGTAACACATTAATATACGGTAAAATGTGACTACTTGAAATGAGAATGCACACTATCTCTAAATTAATAGAAAAAATTATCTCTATCATAAATTTAAATTTAAATTAAGACAAAACAACACCACAATAAAAATACAAAATCAATCATTTAAGATGTTCAAATTTAATTAAAAATAGAGAAATGGGTTCGGGATAAATATAAATCAAAATAAAAAATACTTAGAAGAGAAGGCAGATTGACCGTAACAAAATGGAAAATTAAAAAAGAAAAAATTACCAAGGTCTTGAGTGAGACGTGAGAACTCTGGCGAGCGCCCAAGTTTTGGTAACTATATGATCACTATGCTTCCACTGCGCTCTTCAGCCACGGGGATTGGGTTTCGGATTTCGTCACCTTCTAAAATCTGGGTGTTTTAAACCTCTACATAAGAGAAATAAACTATGTGAAACCAAAAGAAAACGGTGGAAAACAAACGCCGGAACTGTGTTACATAAGACAAAGAAAGTTGTCCGAGAAAATCGACAAAAGTCGGGTGAAGAAGACAAAGCTCGACGGGTTCGGATCCGAGTCGGAACAACTCGCATCCCATACCCGCAGTTAGGCTGTTCGGAACTTAACATTTTGAAAATGCCATGAAATGGCTTTGAGGAGCACACAATATTTGAGGAAATTTTGCCCACGCCCTTTCAAACCAGAATTTTAAGTGGGCGTTTTAGACCAGCTCGATCATCTCAACTACATGTACATTGAAGATGGTCGATGTATTGTGGAGACTTGAGATAGCTGCTCTCAGTTCTTCTGAGAGAATGTCAAGATATTTGCATTAAGGAAGTTAAGAGAGCTGAGGCATACTGGCCGCATACTGGC